TATGGAGCTGATATTATTTTTGAAATAAAGGACTGAGATGAAGAAGACGAGTCTGAGGAAGTGGGAAGATGAATAGGACCAGTGGAGCGAAAGTGGGAAAATAGAGAATTAAGCCATGGCGGAGGAGCTAATTGGAGTGTCGTTGAGGAAGATTTTGCTCGCGAGGGTTTTTGTTTTCTCGGCATGATCTGCTTGTGAAAAAAAAAAGAATATTGACTGGATTGTATTTGGGAATGTTGAAGTTTTTTGGGGTGGGGGGGAAGGTCAATGTAATGCCCTTTTCTTTTGATTTATATAAGGGGTAAAAGCTTTATTTTGCGTAGTTCTCCGCTCCGAGAATGTGTGTAATTAGAAAATAGGAACAAAGAACTGTAACCAAAAAAATTTCCGGGTTAAAACTCAATCAACTGATTGGTTACCATTATGGAAATTTACGCGCGAATTCGGCGAATCACACTTCAGTCGCAAGTCCTACGCAGTCGGGCCAAAAAATGAGATATGAGAATTACCTCCGATCTAAGCACAAAAATCTAGTTAAGGAACGTGAGACCAATGCAGACTTGATCGAACAAGTTTAAATTAAAAATTTTTGGTCTATCGATTTCATATTCAGATAACTGCGCTGTCTTGAACGTTGAAGATCTTTGACAATTCTGGTTCTTATTATTAAGCAGAAAAAAACGACTGCTGTACGAATTACTTGTCACAGAAAATAATTCATGAATGTAAATTATTCGTGAAAGCCTTGAATTATAGAGGAGTACTATATTTAAACGGTCATTAGATAGCCTTTAAAACAATAGAAAAAAATGCGTTCAAACACTTAAATTCCCAGGAGTAGCGCATCTAAAAATCATAGCCAATAATAAACTCGTTTATCGAAACTTTTCAAACTGGTTAGTTTAGTGTTTACAATCATGTGAAAGTCAATGTAAACAATCCAAAAACACAAAGTGAGATTAGGCTTGAGAAAAAAAGAAGTTTGGCCACCTGGTTACGAAAAACACACCTTTGTCCACACTTCATCGTAATTATTACACTCAATTTAAAAGTTACAAAAGTATAAAAAATTTTGCTAAATAGAGTCACTTTTGAACTGTGATAATGTTAACGCCGTATCGTGTTTTTGTAATAAAGATAAGACTTTAAAACACAATTAATTTAGTATTAATGGCATTTTGACATTCATTTCTTGTTTAGCATTAACCTTTAAATGGCAACTTTCCTCTCTTTTACGGCGTAACATTAGCGAAAGTAGATAAACTTTGGGATTACTTAATCATCAAAACCAAAACCAACAAATGACGTTTATTAACATGGAGCGGTTTTCCCGTCTTGTGCAGACATTTACATAGTGTCCTCTAAGCTGATTATATTTTACAATTTTTTTTTACCAGCCAATAAACACTTATCGTTTAATCATTTAATTAAGAATCTTAGTTAATATTAAAACTTTATCTGAGATTTGCGTAAATTAGACACGATAGGTTTAAACAGCAAAATTTACCATAAAGCTATATAAACAAAATGTTGCAACAATTTAGTTTCAATCTTCTAGTTACCACACATATTTATTTATTCGCTCAAAAAACTCGAGCAGTTTAATTTTTCAGCAATTTTGACGTTATTTAGTAATCGGGACAGCTACATTAATATTTCCCGAATGCTGAATATCATTAAAAGCTTTTCCTACAATATAAATCTTGAAACCACAGATACGCTATAAGATATTAGAGGTTTTGTCCAACAACTTTATACGTAGAGAAGAACAACTTTGGAAAAAACTATAAATAAAAATATTTATATTCCTACTCTTTACGTATAAAGTTTACATTAAGTTCGATCTAAATTGCTATAAAATATTTGTACATGCAAATACCATAGTTTTGGTTTTCTCACATTTAAACAAAAATATACCGAATTCGTTAGCAAAATAATATCGTAACTAGATAAGAATTTATGTAAGAGCTTCTCCTCTTGTTATCGCAAGTGTAAAAATATGAGCAAGTGCTGTCTTAATAGTTTGTGAGCATTACAAGAGCGTGTTTTAAGAGTTTATATGTTAGCGGTTAAATAAATGCAATTTTTATTTAGCTTTTATATTACGACACAAACAATATTAACAGCGCATGGTGCGTTTTGTTTTTTGTTAAGGTTTATATGGGGTAAGCTATGATATTATAAATTTGAAAATAATGTTGCGTCTTTTTCAAGAAAGGCTGTTGGTGTAATAATACAACTGCATATGCCGGACATTATTTCAGATACTATAATTATAACGTATTGGCAATACATCTTGATAAATCCGTACAGGGTGTATTCTTGTATACATAACAATGTGGTTTTACATCTTATATAATACATTGTTTAATCACCGTACTTGTAGATAATTACGGTGTAATACGGCGCTGTTTCCTTTTCAATAAACTTTGCACAAAAGGCTGGAGCATTAATGTCGTCGCCAATGGTGGTCTGACATACTGTTTTCAAATCAATCGTGGCACTGAGCAGCTAAAAAAATAACGACACATATTTAGTGGGGGGTTTTTGTAAACTGAATTAATAATGATTTACCAAATCATCCTTTTTATCACTATCAGCATCGCTATCCCAAAATGTTTTTGTTGTCCCGCATAGCGCAGAAAATAAAAATGATCAGTAACATCGTAATCTAAAGAGTCTTTATCGGGCTTTGTCTTTACTGGAGCATTTCCGTCGACCCAAATCTTGAGGTATGGGTCGCCTGTAGCATAATGATACAAATTCTTCAGTCGATAAATTACTTTGATTTCTTTGAACAAATAATAATTGCTTACTAAGGTCGCCTGTTAAATAAATAAGAATTGTAATATTAGTATTAGCAGAAAAGTGACACAATTAATACAATTAATTGACAAAAACTTACCAGTTGTTCCGGCTGGTGGATCTTTATCAGGCAAGCTCTCTGCGTCATCTTTTGTAATAATAATAAACTTATTATTACGCGTTACTTGTCAAAAAAAAAACAAAAAACGTTCATTTATTCTGCAACTTACAGACAAAAACTGCGACTTAACCAACAACTTTTTTTGCGCTGACGCAAGTCAAGAGGGAAAAAATTGCGAAAATAAAAATAATAGTTGTTGGCTTAGAAGCCATTGTTTCATAATATTAAATGAAATTCTAATTCTTTTGTCGATGAATGAGTTGTTCCTGTCGTTAGAATTAGAATCAACCAAGGCGTGCGTATGTGTTTATATAATTGCTGTTATCGAAGAAACTACGCATTGATGCTGATTATGAAACTGCCTATTTGAGACATAAATACAAAATTTGGCATTTTCGTACAATAAACAATTCTTACAATATTAATATTACAAGGAAATTTCCTGACAATGATGAGATAATGGCACAGCAAGTATAAAATATCAGAAAGCTTGAACAATTTATCTTTAGATATTTTCGGGGGTTTTCATCTATTTTGGAGAGACAATCATTTATTTATGGTGTCTTCCATTTATGCAGACTCTGTATTACGAATATACGAATACTGTCTCATTACCGATTAAAGATGTCGTGATCGCTTAAAAAGGTGAGGTAATCCCGAGTGCGATTCAATTTAAACTGAATCATAATGCATATTGAATGCCGATAACTCAAGTGTACTTTTGTAGACGTGCAGCAACAGACAGTCAGATTGTAAATTCATGAGCGTGTTTTACATAGTAATAATTGACAAACACTATGTAAAAAGTAATGGTACAAAAAACGCCAATTATTTTATTAAGATAGACGATAGACGCAACTGTGTCGAATCACATGGGTTGCATTGGAAAAAAAAACTTTTTGAATGTACGATCCAGAGTGATACAAGATGTCTCGTAACCTCCTTTAACTTTATATAGTTCAGTTAGAATAATAAGCATAGTATATCAATCTGCATGAATTGTCGCATGATCTTCGCTTAATTTCCACGTCGTTTTGAATGAGGTTCGGTGTCCCGCAAATTTGATAATCTATCACCACACTCTTTGCCATATTTTTACGTTTACTTTAACAACATGCTGGTCTCAAATCAGTCAATCACGGTTTCTAATCTTACAGTTTCTAATGAACGTTCAAATGTAGGGGTTTTGTCGGGGAGATTACTTTTTGGCCATGTCGACAACTTCTGAAAAGCCCTACGCAAATTTTTAATATTGACATCTGTTCTTCGTTTCACGACATGTTAGAGCATGTTTACTAATTATAGAAAAATCAAAGATTCTGTATGGCGGTTATTAATTAATATTATGATCTTGATGATTTGAAGCAACTGTTCATCTGCTGGTTTTGCTTCTTTAATAAAGTCTCCCCAAGTTTTATTCCTTGACTTGATTTGGCCCAAATTCCTGACAAGACCCATCTTAATTACAACACCACAAATTTATCTGGGAATATCGAATTGCATTAAAAGCTAAAAGCACTGGGATGACATACAAATTATTGGGAGAGAAAGTGACAAAGGCTTACAGCAGATGACAATCCCATAACTTTCATGATGATACTGTGATGTCCTTAAATTCACCTTCTACTTTACCAGAATATTATTAGAATTAGTCCTCAGTTATTGTTCAATGTTATACCTATCATACATGCTATGTAATATTAATATGGGGCATGCTGCAACAAAACCAGACAAAGTGAACATTCTATAAATTAAAATGGGAGGCTGATTCTGATGTGGATGTAAAATTACAGTGTGACTGATGACGTTTTGAAAAGTAATAATTGGCGCTCATTCATAATTTATAGACTTGTTAATTTTAATTTTCACTTTATCATACCAGAAGGTGAGGAATATAAACCATAACAGGAGTAATATAGGATTACCTCTATATAAAAATATAAATATGAAACTAATTTACATTAAATCCACTATGGAACCCAAAAATTACAGCACAATTAGAAGCATTCTAAAAAAAGCTCAAGG